GCGATATGGCCAAACGAACATCCCACCTCGTCCGCAAATACACTCCCCTTCCCTCCTCTCTTTCCAGAGTCCTGCGATCTGTCCACAATCGAGACGGCGGTGGTTGTTTAACGTTGCCTCGATCAGCCTTCGTATATTTCTATTCCACCTTTTTTTCCACAATCGACAGATTCATTGCGATACGCTGCAGCTCGCGGGGAAGATTGATGATCGCTGGTAAACCTCTCTCTCTTCCCTTTTGTTTAGGGATTTTAAGAGAAGAGGCAATTTTTGATCCCTCTTTGATCGCACATCTCGAAATTCTTCCCGGCTTTGTTTCATCTGGTCGTCCGTTTTCGAGTAATTAGCGAGAAATCTCTGTGATACATTTTTTCCGAGGTCCTTTGTATCGTCGGTCTAAGTTTCTGCTACCTCTCTCGGGAGATAGAATTAAGAATTGTCGACGAGAAGGACACGTTGGATCCGTGTTACACAGGGGAAGAGCTAACCCGGTGGCTCGCGTTTCCATCGAGGTGGTGCTAATGGCGTGGAAGGTGAAAAGGGGTGAGCCAGTGGAGGGGAGTAGTGCCAGGGTAGAAAAAGGCGAACGATTAAGGATCGTAGGCTAGTGATGCACGCAGTGGAAATCGGTGTGGGTCAAGATACAATCCAATGCCGCTTTTACGGTCCATGTCCATGTCGGAGGATACTAAAACTAATGTATTCATGAGATAATTATTTCTTGCATTCATTACGGGGCTGTAAAGTTTTTATTGGCCCCGGAGCTGGCCTCGCAAAGCACGGGGCACCCTTACAAAGTAGAGGCAACACGGATCTACCTTAGAGCCACTGCCTCGCTCTCTCTCTCTCTCTCTCTCTCTTTTTCACTCTTTTCCTTTCCTCAACTCAAGATTCGTCTTCCCCTCTTTCTCTCTTCCTCTTCGTTTACGACACACATTTAAGGACAGTCCTTAGAACGCGGATCACACGGTCGTATCGATAACCGAAACTCCTACCGGCGAACGCGATATCTCCGTTGCTAAAAGCATTCTTTAATAATATTTAACGACGGACCATGGAAATTTAATGCTCGCCCCCTCGAGAACGGGGCCGAGAAGAGAAAACGGCCAGCCATAGAGACTCGTGATCGCCACGATTTTACAGTTCTCTTCGCCTGCTGGTGTTTCTCTGTCTATTAGAGAGGACTATCGTGACGGGGGTAAAGATCGATTCGTTCGTTAACACGTTCACCTGCATAATGATATCGAGCGTAAGTTGAAGAAGAAAAGAACGTTTCGTGGCGGGTTTGAATCCTCTCACGCCTTTTCCCGACGCTGTGTAACGCTGCCTAGCGCGACCAGGCAACGGCGAGAAAAACGGGAGAGCGAGAGGGTGGCGAGGGTGTCCCAGAAGGACGACGACGCGGACGGAATATCAACGAGAACGGTAGCAACGTGCGCGACAAAGGGCGTTATTCCTTCCGGTACAGAAAAGGGGAAGATACATCAACTCCTGTGTCATATAAAAATGTGTTCATGCGCCACGTACTAGGAATAAAAAGCGTCGGAGAACGGTTCGAGGAGAGCTGACGAAATTGAAGGACATATCCTGGACGTTACCGAAACGATCCTCTTCTTTTTTTTCTCTTGTTAAATTTCGGAAGAACAGAAGGTAAGGAAGAGCGCGGAGAATCGGCGAAGGAAGAAAGGGGGAAGAAGAGAAAAAATGCTGCTGGCAGGATTCTCGAGGCGCACAAAGAAAAATCGAACGACGACGGGGCAGAGGGAAAAGTAAAGGGCGAACTGAAGGCAACGCGTGGAAGAATGGAGTTGACGGGGCGAAAGTCATGAGGACCGGAAACGGAAACGAAGCTCGTCGTTATACACCGACGTGACGTCACACGTCGAAGAAGAGAATCACGGATTTCCTTGTAGAATTCTCCTCCACTCCGGCGGGATATTATTTATAAGATGAGAAAGGATAATGTTTCAAATGTAGATAAACTTGGCCGTTCCGAAAGGTGAAACGAAAGAATGGAGAAGAGAGGAGAAAGGAAAAGACAAAGGAGGGAAGAGAGGAGGAGGATCGATGCAAAGGGAAGAGACGTCAGGATTTGGGATTTTCGCACGTGTTTCCAGCTCCGTTCACGCGATTCCCGTAATCCCGTGTGGCCGTTCTCCCCTTCAGAGAAGAGGCAGCACTCGAGATTTCTTTCTCTGTGTAAAAGGAAACGGAATTGAAATCGGCTTTTCGAAATTGCGCGCCAGCCCCGTGGCCTAGCTCCCCGGAGAGAGAAATGCAAACACGGCTTTGCTGAGCGCGCAACTCGATCGAGAAATGGGGGGGGGGGGGGGGGAGGAAGAGAGGAAAAGGAAGAGAAAAAAAGAGGACGATCGCAGTGGATTTACAAGGGTACCGAGAAGGGTGGAATGTATCGTTTGCCAATGCCGGGATGACCCTCGGATCTCGGGCCGAGAGCAAACCGTCTGGCAAGCTTCTTCCCTTTGAACTTGAACGATCCCTTTAACCAGACCGTTAAGAAAGCAGCCTTACGCGAACGGCAATTCAAACGGATAATTTGGAGAAAGAAAGTTTGGTTTTGTTATGTATCGATGAATACGGCTATACTCGTCGGGTACGGATATAAGTGATAATGACGATTTCTACATCAAGGCTTGCGTCTTTATACGCGATTGAAAGTTCATGAACGAATTGTTGATTATGATAATCTTTAATATGTTCTTTTTGTATGTTTTAACTAAAGTTTCGAGGATCTCTTCTGTAAATTGTTAGGAAAAACAATGGATTTTAAAGCTGTGGCGAAAGTGTCGGTGGAAAAGAGTTCGTTAGAAAAGAATTTGAATTTATATCGCTGTTTCGTTCTTAGAAAAGATTTATTTAAATCTATCTCGTTCCTGTCACTCGTTAATGTCTGAAGGCACAAGTTCACATTTGAAAAGAGAGAAATCTCTATTTGACCAATGGTGGCGCCCTCCTGCGAATATCCGTAGAATTGAACTGCGTGACTTTCGTTATTTATGAAAAATTGTAGTCGTTCAAAAAGTGCAATTATTGGAAAAGAAGTGCAATTAAAATTAAGTAGCATCACGAATAAAGTTGTGCTTTTTTCTTAAAAATTAATGAACTTACCTTCTCTTACTTGGATGGTTTTGATTTACTGAACATCACTGACACTAATTCATACATGACAATTTAATTATTCTATTTGATCAGCCTATTTGTTCAATTTCTTACACGAATTTATTAAAAATATTTCGCACCGAAGAGACATTCCTTTTCAAGAAGGAACACCGAAACATGCAATATTGTAAAAAATATTGTAAACATACAAATTAAGGTAAAAAAGAATAAATAAAAAGAATATTCTTTACTTTTTCCTATTTAAATAAATATATTCAGGTTGAAAATAAATTCTACTTATTGCTGATTCTTGAAAAATAGAAATACATACAACATACTACACCATATCTTTTGCAACTTATTATAGAGATGGAAAAAAAAAATAAAAGATATAAATCACACTGAAACACTAGAACTTTTGTATATTCTACTTTATTCTTGACATAAATTAAATATTACCGTATAAACTAAAAAAAAATACATGTGGGAAAATTATTAAATATAAGTAATCTTCAAGTTTTGTCACATATTAACACATTCTTACACGTTATTATTGTATTTACAAATGCAACACATCACTAAACCAAATCTTTTTACACTTACATCAATATTTAAGTAACATATTATGAAGTAGACTGTACGGTAGTCTCAGCAAAACTGATCTTTTCACCACTTGCTACGGAGAACAGCTACACCAGGGTATGTCCAATAGATCCCCGACCAATCATAGTGAAGTACCAACCAATCCCACGTAGTAGGCTCTCCGTCACAAATGTTGGAAAGGGAGAACAGCGTTTACAACACAGACTGTTATGGCTTTGAAACGGAGCATGCTCTATTGGAATATTCTAAATCCCACACTAAAAGGGGTGTGCCCTACCGATTCCAACTAGAGAAAAGGGAAGGGAGTGTATCTTCCATCAGCAACGCTAGAGGGTCGATGGGTTTCACAAAGCAACCTGAAACGTTAAAAAGATGGAGCATGCTCCGTTGCAATACTCTAAACCCCATAGTTAAAGGGGTGTGCCCTCCAAATTTCAGATGTGTATAAGAGAAAAAATTGACCAATCTGTAATATATGTCAAAATAAATGTTATTTTTGCTCCTATGAAATTGGTGGTATATTCTTAATAAAAATATATTGGCACAGTTTTATTTGCCTGCACAAAATTACGATGGAATTAACCACAAAAAAAGCATTAAAATAAATCAAAAACATTAAACACACATGGTCAATATCATTGCAGCTGCAACACCCTTTTTTTTAGCAGCTACCCCTTTTTTGGAATAAAAGGGGTGACTGGTACCCCTTTCAAAGGGGTTAAAATACAGAGGGTGACTTAATGTAGCAGAAGAAAACTTTATGTTACGTGTATGGGGCTACATTTGTAAGATATATACTAAAAAAAAAAACTACAAACGTTTTATATATAATAAAGTAA